ATAAATAAATAAATAAATAAATAAATAAATAAATAAATAAATAAATAAATAAATAAATAAATAAATAAATAAATAGAGGAATGAATGAATGGAGGAATGAATGAATGAATAAATAAATAAATACAGACTTTGACATACAGTACAGAATCTAAGCTACAAATGTGATAAGAATTTCCTTGAAAAGTACAAACTGGAAACTATATTCACAATCTCATTTATCCGATAACCACATTTTTCTCTTTTCCTGAAAGCACTTTATTTATAGCAGTTTTTTATTGTTGAAACACCAACGTTATTTAAACAAATGAGCCAATCAATTAATTAAGCTTGATAAGCTTCTACTTAGTTTTATTAAATTTTGTTTATTGTTTCAAGTTAGTTGACAGGAACTGWTAATCTGATAAAGGTTTACTTGGATTAAACGGCGAAGTGCACTTCAAGCTTAGACTTACACAACTTTCCGACGTTATTCTATAAAATACCACTCATCAGATTTAGAAAACAGTAAAACCGACAAAAATAAAATGATCTGAGTAACCGAATAAAAAGCTAAGCACTGACTAACTTGAAATGATTCGTGCATCACAGTTCTGAAATTGTCTGATAACAGATCAATTGCATTCTTCCAGAAACTGATTGTTAAACACTAACTTTTGTTAAACTAGCGATCGACTAAGCCGTCAGAAACCGGAACTTCTTCGTTTGTTATTTAAATTCGACGATTGGTTCACAATCTGGAAAAGTTAAGTTTGCGATAAAACGAAGCGAGCGCACGTATGGCAATACAGTACTTTTCAACATTCTATAATCAGAGATCCCACTTATCGAGTGTTAGAACTTGGCATAATTAGCACAACAAGTATTCAAACCACAGAAATAAAACTAAAGTGAAAAAAATAAGCTTCAAAACTTTCGTGTATTACTGATATCCGATAACATATTTCTGCTTTTATTCACAAAAAAGTATTGTGCAAAACAAACCTTTGTTAAACAAATTTTCTCAGAAAACAAAATGAGTGAGAAAAGCTTTATATTCGTTGATAAACACAATCTGGAACAGTTCAGTTTCGAGCAAACGATCGAAGCGAGCGCACGAAAGACAAAACACTACTTTAAAACGTCCGTCAGTTGTTTCTTGTCATGGCAAATAACTCTTCAAGTACGAGTTTTATTGCTGGAAGTACCAATCCTGCTCTTTGCTTCTTGTCACCACCAGGTTATGATCCTTACAACACGACAAATCTTCCAGATTCAGTCAACACGATTCGAACTGTCCTTTCTGTTGTCAGTGGTGTAGCGTCTCCTCTAACAGTCGTTATAAATGCGCTGATTGCCTGGTCTGTGGTTGGAGATGAAGATCTTAGATCCTCTTCTTTTAATATTTTGCTGGTAGCTTTATCAGTGACTGATTTCCTAGTTGGTTTACTGGTTCAACCCATCTTTTCATATTACCAGAGTTGTCTTGTGAACAATTGTTATTCGCCTTGTAAATTTACCGTTCACATTATGTCGTTTATGTTCTTGGGTGGTCTGTCATTGTGTACTTTAACTTTAGTGAGTTTGGAAAGATACCTCGCTATCGAACATCCCAATTTTTACCGTAAGATGGTGACAGCAAAAAGAGTCATGTTAGGAACAATGATTTATTGGGCAGTAAGTCTGACTATTCTGATGAGTCTCACAGTTATCAAGATAACTAACAAGAGCGAACTAGCATTACCTTCACCCATGACATTTCTAGGTCTCAGCACTCTAGTCATTTTGTACTGCTCTATCAAAGTACAAGTGACAGCTTACTTTCAGCGTAGAACCATCGCCCTACAGCAAGAATCAGTTCTACAGCCCGACGAACAACAACGACAACAAGAACGACTCAAAGAATACAAGCGAGTGTTCATGACGACAATATTAGTGATCGTGTCGATTCTCTTTTATGCTCCTTGCATTATTGTCGCAGTGATACAAGCGGTCAAGGCTAAGGATGTCACGAGCGATTTTAAGTACGTTGCCATGCCTATCTGTTTCACATTATTTCATCTCCAGTCTCTTATCAACCCAATCCTCGTCTCACTGCGTCTATCTTACATTCGTACAAGCATCAAAAACAAACTAGTAAGTTTGTTTGGCGGGAACTGATTTAAAGTTGATARTAAAAAACAAAGTTTATTTCCGCGGTCTCGTAAAAGTGCTGAAAAAACAGAAACTACTATCTGGTCAGCTTGAATTTATGTCAAGAAAGTCAAGAGAATTCCATAAGTGGGGGATCTTGAAAAAAAAACTAACACCGTTCATTACATACTTGGACAGAAATTGTTAAACTATAAAACGAGTTTTTTTTAAAGTACTGTATAACCTACCAAACCGAACATTGGTCTTTACCATTTTAGTAAGAAATAAATTAACTCTAGTCAAGAACCGAATTCAATTCTCAACTGGCGGGAAAATTAAATGCCTTGAAAACCAAATGAACAGTGGTTATAACAACGCTGTACAGAAACCAAATTTGAACAATCAAAGGGATTCTATTCAAACGGCGTGAGATTTAAGACTTCAATGCAAAGCGAACATCGTTTGTTACCAATTTGTTAGCCGAAATTTGGTATGTATATACATTATAAACAATAGCACTGATTTCTCTTAAAGAATGAAAAAAAGTAATTATAAAAGGAGAGGGGAGGATTGGGGGTTAGAAAGTAGGGGGAATAACCATATCTTTTTGCAGTCATTTGCAAACATTCTGAAAGCCAAAACATTACAAGGAGGTAGCGACTGGGTGGGATGGCAGCGCTGTCGAGTGATYATGTTGTAAACTGACGGTCTGTATAGAAGTCCCGTCATGACCACCTGCTGTGTCTGAATTTGTTCTAGTTTTCTCCGCTCAACCATGCTTGTAAATAGACAAACTTGGTGTGCTCCTTGCCAGCTGGGGCACAGGCAGCCCAACCACCTAATGTTTGATTTGAATGCTGGTAGACCTTGTCTCTTTAATGTATATATTGGCTGTCAGAATTGTTTTTCAAATGACTGTATCGTGTGTAAATATTATATCTATATTATATTCTTATCTATATGCATTACACAGGGTCCGTGCAGAGTATCAAAAACGAAATTTAAGGACTTTTCAAGGACTTTTTCCAGGACCAAAAWTRTMTTTTCAAKGAGCATCAAAATCATGCTAATTGTACATTCTTACCTCAAAACTTCAGCTGAACGGAATAATTCAGAGATCGCTAGCGCTTCGTGATAGAGATCCATCTTTTTCAAGGACTTTTTTCGAAATTTTCAAATTTTCAAGGAGTTTCAAGTGCCCTTGAAAACGAGTTTTCAATTCAAGCACTTTTCAAGTAAAGGATTTAAGGACCTGCACGGACCCTGATTACACCTATTTAGCTATAAACATGATAGTTCTTTTTTATGGTGCTATCTAAGGGTTAGCTTTACCGTGGGGTTATTTCTCGAGTATCTTAATCAATTGACCTTTCTAAAATTCAAGGGACTGGTGACGAGTCAGAATCTCAATGTCATTTGAGGTAATCAAGAAATAAATCCCAAGAAAAGGATACAAAAATAATTAAAAAATATGTTCACCGAGTTTGAGCGTATTCCGACCAAGAGCGGCAAGCGTTTAAAACTCAAAAAAAAAACCTTACTATGTGATGTGGGACTGAGACTGGAAAAAAAAAATTGTCTCTCGTWGGATATTTCACTAAATGGACTCAAACTTGAATACAAAACTAATTGTAGTAAAAGGTTTTTCATACTGCAGGGTTTAGTTTTAAATAAGTGAACTATTTGATGCTGATTTCCCTACCTCTTTTGCATTAGCTTGTATGTATGTAACATGTACATTAATGTCAATTAAATGATACTACGATGTGATAAACTTGATGGACAGGAAGGATTTTACTGCTTCTTAAGTTTGGAGATCAAAGACGCGGCAATACCGGTATCATGGATCAAATACAGTAAAAACCCGTGTAAAAGAACCTAACATTTAAGAACCTGTTACGCTAAAATTTCGTTTTTAATGGTTCTTTTTAAGAACCATTTTAGGTCAAAATTCTAAAACAATAATCTTAAAATAATCTTCTCAAAATATAGAAAAAAATATTCTCAAAATTATATTTATAAAACAGTCTGTACACACTGATTATAGTAGTTACAGCATTTGATTTTAACAGTAGTGTAGTATTTTGCTTACCGAAGCCTCCAAGAATAATGTAGATCAGACATAAAAGACCACATTATTTAATTGAAATTCTAACTTTTCTTCTTGAACAAAAGTTAAGAACCTAATTAAGAACCTAATTAGCCTAATTTTACACTTAATACCATTTATATAAGAACCTGTTTAGGCTAACTTGAAAAAACCTAGGTTCTTATACGCTGGTTTTTACTGTTAGTGAGTGAACGTTTCCTGACGACTCTTGGGATCAGAAATCGGGACTTGTGACCCTTCCCTTCCCTATCATTAAATAGAAAAAAAAAGCAAGAAGAAAAACGAAAGAAAAAATTACGAAAGGATGTGTTCATACAACCCTGTTTGTATATTTTTCTCGTGAAATGTTTGTATTCAAATGTCTTAGTTTGCCTCTATCAACAAAAATGTGATATTTTCAAAGATGTCATCTTCTTTACTACATCATCAAAACAGATGTGTATGTGTATGTTGTTCTATTAACTGAAATTACGGTTGCTCCGACCTTTTTTTTTTTTTTTTTAAATCGATTGCCTGACGGCGTTTAGTTCTGGGGTTAAACGTCAGGCTGCCTGACGTTTAGACATTTTGAATTTAGTAAGGCTAAAACCAATGAGAGCATGCGCGATAAGTAAATTACGAGTCCTAATGACCTATCCCATATGGCTGATACTTACCTGGTCTGTAAGGTAGACTGTTGTTCCTCGATCAGCTGCCTCATCATCAAKTGCGGTACCAGGCCGTATAAAATGTGTAACGTCAGCTATATGGACACCGACCTASAAGAAATCAATAAACTTGCAGTGGATTATTAAACACTTACTGACTGAAAGGGAGGGCCGTACGGGAAAATATCAAAGAACCACAAGCGAATTATTTTCCAGTTGGACCGTACCTAACTCAGTCAACTAGAGTAATAATAATGCGGCCAGATACTGCTGTTAGATGGTAAATACACTTAATATGAAGTCGAGCTTTCGCTGTTCTACA